GTATCCTCTGAGTTGAAGGTTTTGATGAGGTTGTGAATCTCCATTGACAGAGATGGTTAGGCCACGTGTTTATGTATGCCTGAACACCGATTACCACGACGTGCAATGCTAACCGGTGTTGGGGATGGTTGGAAGAAAGTTAGCGCCCGTCAAACGAAAACGTGCCATCAGTCCTTGAAGTCATTAACTTCTAGTTTCAGCCATGTTGGGAAATCCAGACTACTTGGTTGGGGTCCGCGTGAATCATAACCAATGGTTGGAGACTCTGGGTGACATGGCTCAGAATAGATCACAATGGCGTAAGTGTATACACACTTTGTCTTCCCTTAAACTATGAGATTAGAATTGTTGTATGTCTTTCTTTCTACGAACTAATTTTTTCTTTCTGTACTATATCCTTACATGAAATCTTTAGTTATAAATTGTGCCATTGAGTTAACTGCTTCTATGAATCCGGTGTTCGTCTTGCTGTGCTATTGAGGTATGGCAGCTTGGACCGATGCATATATGTGCCTGGTCCTTGTAGCTGACTGACTGATTGAATGAATGCAGAGGTTCGGCATCGTGTGTTCTGGCACAGAGACGAATCCAATTGGTGTCATTATCTTGAAACATGTACCTAGTCCTACGTTTTAACTGACTGACTGAAGGGTTTGATGGTAAAGCTTTATCGTCCTTTTAAACAACATCAGAACATCAAAAAGGAGCGATCTATTAGAGTTTCTCTATAGTCTCTTGTATTGAGTATCAGTGATCATTAGTTGTACCATTCAACTTTGAAACATCTACTCATTGTGATGCCTAGAAAGATAACTGAAGGTTTGTGACTAAACAATTCAACTAAGACAACACAAGACCTCCAAGATCCCAATTCTAATCTCTAAATGCATTCTATCATTGCATAGGTTTGTTTATTATGTTGTAAGTCACAGTTTTCTACTAATCACAAGATCCAATTAATCGTGAAGATTACACTGTTATGCAGACAATAAGTTGGGTTCAAAAAGATTAACCAGAACTAATTCAAGATATTTATCGTGGTCATTATCTAGTAGCATCACAATAAGTATTCATTTCGCTTTGAACTTGATTGACTATAACGGATGTTAGAGAGCGTTATAAGATAGATACACTGACACAAAAGACAAGTAAACAAGAAAATTGAATCATTTTCAGTTTTTTTTAAAAAAAAGCAATTACTTTTCTGCATCACTGCTTCTGCAGAGACTGGAAGTCTCGATCATGCCAGTGATCAAACCAAAAATTTTAATTCATTATGTGGACGACATATTCGTCAACGTAAAAAAAGATGACCTGGAAAACACCTTCAATCGAATCAACGTCTTTGATGACATCATAATCTCAATATAATAGGAATCAAACAACAAACTACCATTTTAAATGTAATAATCACCAGAACCGACACAGGAAACCTGGAGAAAAGAGTATATCGGGAAATGAATCACACACAAAAATTCTCAATTACAGTAGCAACAACGAAAGAGCTCACAAAACCAACTACGTACAAACTCTGTTCAGGAAGGCGAGGACAAATCGCAACACACTTGTAGTGCGGAAAAATGAAGAACAGCTGAAGACAATTTTTCACAAGAACGGCTAAACAATCAAGTTCAACAAAAAATATCAGAAGAAGCAAACTCCAGTTAAAAAACCAACAAACAGATCATTCTACGACATATAAAAGGCATTTCAGAAACTAAGACGAGATTGTTGAAGCCTTTTGGAATAGGTGTAGCACACAAACCAATCAAATTATTCCGATCAATCCTATGCAAACCAAATGACGAAATGAAAAAAGAAGTAAAACCGAACATCATCTACAAAAAAGAATTGTTCCGATTGAGAAAAACACTACATCGGACAAAGCGGTCACCTTCTTCATCGTCGCCTGAATAAACATCAATTATTGTAAACTCATAATGTTGTCAATTTATTTGACCGAGAATAAGGTGATAGCACTTCCTAACTACTTACAGACATTTTGAAGTTGGAATGATCAAGATAATGTAATCAATAAGTAAAAAAAACTTTCAAAATGAACTTATTCACCATGTACTTCAGTAAGAGCTATACTTTAATTGTGAGAAGGGTTCGAACCCGGGTAATGTAATACTGGCAAAATTAGTAGATTGTTATTGATATCGAAGATAATGAACTTTTAATCACGATCTGACTCCAGCTAAACGAACATTGGAAACCAAGGACTGTTGAACACCCAGTTCATTCTAATATAGGATAGCTCAGAAATGCATATCCAAGACCATATAGAGGATCGAATTCAGGACCTTCAGGTCTTACAGTGAGTGCATTGTCTTTGGACTAGTCAGAAGTCTTCGTTTTCTAACATCAGCCATTGTTCATTGAGTTGAATATTACCTGTCCCACTTTCTACATCACTAAACTTTATAGTCGATTTATTTAGGCAAAATTCATCTTTAAAATTGAGCTAATCTCCACAATATACGCAATCAAATGATGATATTTAGTAAATTTTTTGTTGAAACAACACAAATCATCAGTATGGTACGCATAATATTAGGACAGTTTATTAAACTGTTTGAGTTTAAGAGCCGCCTTAAGTTTGAGCAACAAGTATATTAAAGTCATGAAGTAAGTGAATAAATTCCTCAACGCGAAATATTCAGCGTTTTCGTCAATTAATCTTGCAAGATCAAACCAAGATAATATTACAAAATAAATGTTTGAATTTTTAGTTCTATTCAATAAGTATAAGATAATAGACATAATACCATAAGGTAATTGTAAATACTAAAAAATCAAAAGCAACTAGCAACCGGAAGTCATTTTCTAACCTACCATGTTGATTCAACTCTCACCTAAAAAACATAGAGATGGATGTCCCTAGTGTATTGATTGAACAGACAAATCATATACACTGGTTTCTTTTACAAACTTAAGCAAAATGTCCGTATCAAGAATCACAAACCAACAACTATAAATCATGAATGAACATCAATCTATAACATCATCGTCCCAGAAAAAGTTTCTTGAATTTTGTAAACTACTTTTTTCCGCTTATCATTTAAACTCTTTATCAGTATAACTAGGAGCAGTTGTCTAGTGGAATTGGATATTTTTTTTAGTTCTGTCGCTGAATTGACTAAATTTTAATCTAGTCCCTCTAATTCATTTTCATTTTCCCTTACTAATGACGGTCAATACGTGAAGTTAATGGCTAACAAAACTGATTGATATCCTTTTGTTCATAATGCATCCTATGCCAGAAAATTCAAAAAGCTCTCGCTTTCTTTATAGTTCTTCCTTGAAAAAAATTTTATCTGTCAATCCTTGTAAAATATGATAAACCAATTATTTATTGGTGTCATACATAAAATGATTGTTTCATATTTGGTGAAGTTCACCAGTCGTAGGTTAGTTAGATAATTGGAATTAAATGTGGCTTTCTCTATCCCTAAACCATAGTACTTCAAGTCCACGTACAGTTTGAAGTTCATAACTTAACATTCCATATGAAGATTGAACATTGATTCGTTTGGTAAGTTTACTTGTGATATAAGCGTATACGTTGTGTATATTGTCTTCAAAACACTATTTTCAAATATGTTTACCGATATATAAAAAGAACTTTCAAGAGGCCGAATAAAGCATACAAATGGTACTGTTCATTTGTTTAAACAGTTGAATAATGTGTAATTGATTAACCCTACTGGATTTTGAATACAAAATGAGGAAATTATCCCATATTTTTTGCATTATATTTCACAAAATTGCACATAGGTTGAGAAAAATTTTTCAATTGCTCACCTTGGATGTTGTCACACTTAAAATGCACCCATTAGGACTAGTCAAATTCGCGCTGGCCGCTTCCATTCTGCGTCGTTTCGATGCTGTTGGTAATAATTAAACGAGGTAAAAACAATAACAACTAAATAAAAACTAGACACGTAATCAAGATAAATGTATCAGTAAATATGTAATATTATTACCCACTTATTTACAAACAGATTTTTATCTGAGCCTCACTTCAATTACGTTTAAGTTTACTTGATATCACTCAGTTGCTTGACAGGATTAAATGGAGGGTAAAATCTGCGACATATTCACTAGAAGTTGAGTTATTCAGTCATTAGGTGCATAAGTATATATTAGGCAATAACATTTTCGCAGCTTGTCGTTAAAGCTTGTGAACGTACTATAGAATATGAGTAACATATGCTGGAAAGGAAACAAATGATGATATAGCGATATTGACAAGGTGAAAGTAGAAAGATGAGACAACTGAGTAATCCTTTGACTTTTTTCAAACAATTGAAACAAGAATTTATAAAAATAAACTATGTATTAAAATAGCAAGAAACGTTATTCATAACTTACAATGTGATTGTGGTCCCGGTACAGAAGCAACATCATCGTCTGGAGGTGGTAGAGATGACTCAAAACGTCTGTTAAAAAATTTATTCGGTAAAATAAAACACAAATATACCAATTTACAATAAACTGATAAGCACCAATCAAATCCAACAAGATATTTGTCAACAAAGAGAGAAATTATATTTATCGATCTTTTCGTAGGTTTTAAATGAATCAATCAGAAACAAAAACATTTTATATGATCAGTTAAATTACTCAATCCATAATTAAATTTTATAACAGCTTTTCGATTTAAGCAACCAAAATAAATTCACTAACACACCTATACATATAAGGAGTGCGGCTGAAATTTTAAAGTTCCACAAACCTGTAGTAGTTGGTTACTTTTGAACTATACAACAGCATGAACTAATAAAAACATGTGTCAGATTCTAACCCGGTTATTTTAAAGTTGATAAAAGATGGTGTATAAAATCAATATGATAAAAGAACACTGATTATTTGAGTATTAGTTGCAAGAAATCAGTCGCTTGAATTGAACAAAGCAGAAAAAGAATAGTTAATAAACAATTCTAATAGTATTTCGATGCAAACATTTTATTGCAACAGATAAGTGAATATCTGATTTCATACAACAGCAACGGTTACTTTCTGAAGGTCTGAGGTCGCATGTAGATTGGATCCCGAAGTGTTAAAGTAACATTATAAATGAGTTACTTTAACGTAATTCTTAATGTATTGCAACTATATCTGTATTAACTGTACATTTCTTTGAAGAGCCAACAAAATTTCAATGATATTCATTATGAACTTATGGTTTTCCTTCAAAATATACAACCCAACAGAAACCTTTGATCACTCTCCACTATATATTCACTTGTATTAATAAACAGCATTCGAAATGCAAATGTCGTTAAGAATTTATGATTACATACTTTAAGAGAAAAATCTATATGCTAGCTTTTCTTAAATACTAATTTTAACAAATAGTTATTTCTGTCTGAATACAAAACAAAAGTGGTCAATTATTTACTTACTGACTAGATCGTAATTTACTTTGGGTAGTTGTTGGAATGGAAGGTGAATTATTGCTCAAATTATTCGAACTACTAGAATTGCTCACAGCTGTTACCGAGGACAGTGACACAGACCCGGAGAGTTGACCAGAAGGATTGCATTTCGAAGACTCTACGGCTGTTATAGACGCATTCACTGTTTGAGGTCGTGACCGTGTTTCCAGAACTATTTGCAAAAAGGCACATCAAAACAATGATGGATGGCAATAAAATCATAATCTACGCATCAATGATTGATTTTAAATGCGTTTAACCGAACAAAACACGTATGCATTGCTTTCTGTGAAAAGAACCATTTATTTTAGTAATATTCCAGTTAGCTTTTGTTATAAACTTGTAAAAATTGCAGAACTATTGAAACCCAAGGAGCAATAGTTAACTATTTCAGGTTATTAAGTGGATCATCCGCAGTAAACAACTGACTCAAAAGAGACCGAACCCAATACATTTAGTTCTTCTAGCGTGAGTTACCTGTAGAGCAATAGGTTGAGACTCAATGATACATATTTCAATCTCCTCCATGTCCACATAAAAGAATGAAGTTGTCAGAAGACTGTTTCACTGCTCACATGGTTGTCAATCAATTAATGAGGAATTCATACCAAAACGTTGACAATCCATTTCGAAACTAGTCGCTCATGAGCACAAGACCAGTGTTTGCTTCAATTCTTGAGCAAGCTGTGAATATGTACTTCTGTGGAGTACAAAACTAAACAGCTATTCAATTTTCCTTGATATCCCCCTGTTTGATTTTATTTGTGCTGAAATCTCTACACTCCTTTAAGCCAAACATCCTATTTTAATTATACTTCTTTTCTTTTTCTTCAAAATAGTTGGTTCCCATGTTTTTAATTCTTACTTGTCTTGTGAAAAGGCTTACATTAGAGTTAGTCAGTGTATATAAATAAGAAAAGAAGTAATAACAATAATGTTTATTTATAGAGTTGTTAAGTTAATATGCATGTGCTGAAAAAGAATATAAACAGAGTTGAGAGGAATAACATGACCATGCATGTATAAGACTTACCACTACCGCTTGGAGCAACAGTTGAGTTGGATGGGATTTTACTAGTTTGATTTGATGGTGGTGGTTGTGTTGAAGTACGTCGAACAGATACTGAAATATGTGGAGGTTCAAGTGTCGCAGAACTATTAGACGAATTACTGATGCTAGTAACAAAAATTGTGTTGTTGCCTCCACTACCACTACTACTGGTATTAGTATTGGTGATACCACAACTAGTGTTGTTTATATTTGAAGGCGCATTCGAAAAACTGGTCAATTGATTTGAACCGGAATGTCCACGTGGATTATGACCGTAACTAGTTGAGTTGACAGTAGTTCCGGAACTATTGTCAGGATTTGATACAGTACGATTAGTGTTAACACCACTGTTGATGCTTTGATGATTACTTGAATAATTTGTATTCGTCTCTGAGCGAATTGGTTTAGTTTCTTTCAAATGAAATTCTTCCTCACTAACCCATTTAACTTTACGTGGACGCATTAGGCCAGCATAACTGAATGCTAAAGCCTACAAACAAGCAAAAAATAAAAAGTACGCTGAAATTTAAATACAACAAATGCACACTGATTGGAAATATTAGAAAACGAAATTTTCCAAACATATTTCTAGGAGCTTGGAAAATAACTCGTTATATATTTCTCTAATCTGATAGGTCGAATAATTAGTTTATTTAAGCATCTATTCTAGAAGCAAAGCGTCGCGAGATCAGTTCTAATTCCATAAATAATTTGATTTATGTATCTGATTCAGCCTTGAAAAGCAGAAGGACTTACTATTTTTGTCTACTATTCTTGGTCAAGTGTCAGGAATTGCTACAGTCCAGAAATCAGTTAGAAAATCATCATATTAAGCGTTTGTTTAGTGCATCAAAGTTATCAGGAGGGTTACGAATAAACTGAATAGTCTATATTGATATTATCGGTAATGAAGTAGTTTAAAATTTTAGTGAGGAAATGTGAACACAGTTAATATAAAGGTTACAATACTAGATTACGTAATATGAATAATAACAATAACAATAGATTTAGTGATTATAATAAGATGATTAAAATGTTTTTGATATAATAATTAAAGGTCATAGAGGTGTACAAAAATAAAAGATAAGCTTCCGCGTCTGGTCGCCTCCATGTGCATCTACCAGTTCACCTGCTCTTGTGGAGCAAGGTACATTGGCCGTAGCCAGTGCTCGCTTTCAACTCGGATACGAGAACATATCCCAGCCTGGTTCTATAAGGGTGAAAGGAAAGCAGTTAGGAGTTCTATACTTGAACACCTAATCGACTATAACCATTCAACAGATCCACAAATTGACTTTAAGGTTGTTTATATGATTCGTTCAAATCTACCCAGATTTCTTCGTATTCAACTTTTAAAGATAGCCGAAGCTCTTGCCACCCAAGAGCTTAAACCAGAACTATGCGTACAAAAGAAGTACGTCTTATCGTTATCGTTACCTTGGCCTTAATTAGTTTGATTATCCTACTATTAATGTTATTATTATTATTATTTCACAGATCGAAATCATGAGTCAGTTGAAGCTAGACCACCATTGAAAACCTGGAAGCAGTGGACGGCTGTTTCGTCCTAGTATGGAACTCCTCAGCAGTGCGCATCCACGATCCCGCACCACGCGGGGCTCGAACCCAGGACCTACTGGCTTCGCGCGCGAGCACTTAACCACTAGACCACTGAGCCGGCATCCAACGGTGTTAATGTCTAACTTCAACCAATCCACGAAGTTGCGCCACCGTACACCATTGTCTTCAGTGAGTTCCTATCTCACAACAGACCTGGTTGAACTCCACTGGTAACGGCTTCTCACTAGAACTTCGGCAGTTTTTCCTGAAGTCAGTCACTAGTGAGCAGTTGATTATTATCAGAATGGGTTTTGTGGAGATTTTAGAAATTTCACAGATCGAAATCATTCCCCCTTTACTTATGTCTTATATTCTCATTGTTTTATTCATGAACGCTCATCATATCAGTTTATTTTTGTACACCTCTATGACCTTTAATTATTATATCAAAAACATTTTAATCATCTTATTCTAATCACTAAATCTATTGTTATTGTTATTATTCATATTACGTAATCTAGTATTATAACCTTTATATTAACTGTGTTCACATTTCCTCACGGAATTAGTACTTTTACAAAAACAAAATTTTCATATATATACGATTGTACAGCTTGATAAAATTTTAGTGGCGTAGAGATGACATGATGCAGAACAAGATTAACCAGACCAATCATCAGATTTTTCATTACTCATAGCAAGAGAATACGATGGAAGCTCTTAAACTTGAAATAAGTAAAATCAATTTTGCGGGTGTGTATAAGTAAATTATTATAGAATGACAGTTACCTTATAATTACCCTCATGGCGATTCATATCATATTACATAATAATCAACTAACGCGAACATGATAACAAAACTTAAGGGTTGGATTAAACAGTATGGGAAGAAGGCATAATTCCATAACAATACTATATACATAGAGTTGACTGGTCAATATATGTTGATATATTTTTAATACTAAAAGTAAAAGCACACTAGTCAATTATGAGAAATGACTAAAACGGTACTTCCAATGTAAAAATCTGCACTTTTCCGTTACTTATTTTTGGACAAAACAATCCTGCTATTTCTTTTTATTGTGATAAATAAATCACGGAATAAAAAAAATACGTATAATGTAACAAATACATCTCGATATATCTCTTTTACTTTCTATATTCCAATTAACCAAGCAGGTGAGACAGAAAACTATAAATAAATAATTTAAATGAGAGCATTAATTTTACAGGTTGAATACAACAAGTGAACTTCTATCTTGTATGTGCTTTGATAAATTTAAAAAAAACCGATCGAGAAATTTAGAAATTATCATTTAATGATTAATGAACATCTACATTTTAACAGTACATAGGAAACCACATCTATAATAACTTTATATGAGATGTTATGTAATGAGAATGAATCATAATCAGTCTAGACCCCATTATACGTGTGCATTAGCTTAAAATAGCATAACAGATATGCAAAATGAGATGAAATTAACCAGATGAATTCATTTATGTCAGAAACACAGAAAATATACGACTAATAATAGGAATAAATCTAATCAACACCACAATGTTTGGCAACAAAAAAGGAATTTCAGTAGGAAATTCCACTTTAAAATAATGCTCGTTTGTGAATATTCAAACAAAACATATCAAAGTCCAGCAGTGGTTTTCGTACCATCTTCAACTGCAAAGGTTTTTCGAGGTGACATAAAAAATAAATACATTTATATCAGTGTGACTGACTGTGAATACTGTTACCCAACATCACAGATTGATCACAACTATGATATGGACTCTAAACAAGTAAACTAAATTGATTAACACAGTTTATATCAACAGCCAGTAAACCCATGGATTGACTTCATATCTCGGTTTGACCAGCCTATTCAATTCAAGTAAAATTGCGCATTGAAGTATGAGATGGTTATGGTTTAATTTTTACTAGATCAAAAAGCAATATTTAACTGTTCAAACTAAAATTAGATGAAGCGGAAGTTAAAATCAAAAGAGAAACACTAATAAACAAACCTTTAAATCAGGACGTCGATCTTTCTCTTCATCTTTTAGTTTATTTACACGTCGTTCAACAGCACTTCCGAACTGTGTGATTTTCGGATATTGAGGTAGAATTCGTGTTAATACAATTAATGCGTTGCGAATTTGAACATAATTACCAGATTCTAGACAAGCAACAATTGCTTTTGTAATACGATAATGCCATTTATGTACAACATGACGATAATTCTCATACTGCAATTGGTCTGGTTTAGTATTCGCATCTAAACCTTGATATGTCTTGAAATAAAACAAACCGAAATAATAAGAAATAGACTGTGGCTCATACTTCATTTGACTCTATGTTAACATGGATAAAACAGTGAATTAGTAATAACTGAATGTCGACTGTCGAAAAAAAGATATACCATCCTTACCTGTGTATAAAAAAGCATGGATTGGGAAGTAGACATCAACCATATAAACATACTCAAACAGATATGAATACGGATTCAGTGTAAAAACAGTGAATCTATAAAAAGAAATACTGAATAATTCCCAGAAGAATACGGTATTCACATAGACCAGTTGTCAATGAGGATATCAATATGCAGTGAACGTTCAACTTCATATGATAATCAAAGCGATTAGAAGAACACATGAGAGATAACGAGACTATTGAAGTTTTTTGGAATAGGTGTAGCACACAAACCAATCAAATTATTCCGATCAATCCTATGCAAACCAAATGACGAAATGAAAAAAGAAGTAAAACCGAACATCATCTACAAAAAAGAATTGTTCCGATTGAGAAAAACACTACATCGGACAAAGCGGTCACCTTCTTCATCGTCGCCTGAATAAACATCAATCAGCGGTCAAAAGCCATGACATGTCCTCACTTATATCAATGCATGTGGACATATATTCGACTGGGAAAATGTTGGAATCTAGGATAGAGGCTATTATGAAAACACCAGTAAATTTTAAGGAGCTCGGTACTCAAGTCAACCAGCAATCAACAAGCATATTGAAATCTATCTAACTTATCAACCAGTCAGAAAAATTATGATCGATTAAATCTATTAACCAATAAGACGGATATAGGACCAGAAATCAAATCAAAGGGAAATACAATCAAAATGATGTAGACAATGACAGGTTAAAGGTCAATACTGACCAATCAACATCGAGGACTATAGGACAAGCTGTGAGTCATATGTGGAGAAATTCGAACACTTTGCTCTACCTGAAGTTTGTGCTGATGATGTCGTCCAGAATAACAATGAAAGCTCCACGACCAAACCGTTCAGCTCAGAGAACAAAAATCCACATGGATCATCTACCTGAGGTACGAATTTCCACTGTCTTAGAATGAACAAATGGTATCAAAATCTTATGATATCAGATCATGATATAAATTGTCCATAAAACATCTATATGAAAATCTTCACAAAAAGTAATTACTTGAGAATCAGAGTATATTTGATTTATACAATATTAATAAATGGCATAGACTGAAAGAACGCTAACCAAATCACACTAAGATCAAATATGTAAAATATGAGTCAACTCTAGATGTTTACTGTTGTCATAAAACTTCTTTTACCTGGAAGATCACAATAGGTTGTCATTGGTGAGTCAATTTATACGTTTATTCATGGTTTAAATGACAACTCGTGATAAAAATGATCTTTAAATTACGAAAGTCCCCCACAAACGAAGAAGAATTAGTCATGTGTCCTGTTTTGATTAGACGGAAATTCATGACCAATTAAAATCACCTAATAGTGAATAAGATTAGATAATGGTTGTGCAACATCAAAAATTGACTGGATCTAGAAGTGGTTTTCACGGAATTCTGATACAATAACTGTTATGACTGGTCGCCAATTGTTATGTCAGAGTCGCTTATTATTTATAATTGAGAAACGAGGAACCACAACAATTCTGACGACGCGAAGCAAGAACAACCAGAATTGTACAAGTGAAAATTTATTCACTCTAAAACATGATGACGACCCTAGTCGAAAATACACTCATTATTATATATTGGTTTGTACACCTATTTTGATTATTAATTAGAATAAAATCATATATATCAAAAATACCAAGGGATATAACAAACTACATGCTGAGTATAGTTCATGTTAATTGAATACAAGGATAATGTGTCTTAAAGAAACATTACACTCAATTAAATTAATGTCATATCGAATAAAATATCACACTGAAAAACAAAACAAATATTACACTGAATAATCATCGAAATGAATTTTTTAAAAAAAACGCCAGTATTGTTGTAAAAAAAACACAATGAGTAAACAAAATGTCATTTTGCTTTTTAATTTCGTACGTTAAGTAAAAAATTTTAAAGTCCATCTGATTATCATTTTAAACTTTTGTATGCCTTCCTGAGGTGAGAAAAGCAACGGAACTACAGCAAACTCATGCTTTTTGGTCACATCAATGATCTAAGGCCATGATAAGGATCACCTTTAAATTCGAAAAGGTCTCTACAGAGCTACCTTATATATAGGTTTGTATATTTTTCCCGTGGTTGACATTACGAGGACAGCGACTGATAAAACTGCACTAATATATGCTCAGTTTTGTTACATAGGTACAAACGCGCGTCCTGGATTCCAATGCCAGCCACGGTACATATTTACTAGAATCATCTTAGTTTTACAAAATAGTTGAAAATGTTGTAAAACAAAGTAATTACCACTGACAACGAATTAAATTCGTTTCATGAACATTCTACTTCTTTTCTTTTCAGAAGGAACAATGACAAACATAGGAAAAATATTCTTGCGAGTAAAATAATATTTTTAGGTCAAAACTAACCTTTCTGAAGACAGTAACAAAACCAGGATATTGACCACATTCTTGATTGAACACTTCTTCACTGGCATGCCAACGCATCACAAGTTCTAAGACTGCACATAAAAATCGACCGTAACGATGCGCTTCATTTTCTGTACACATACTGGTTGGCAACGTTATATCATTAAAAATCTGATGGGATGGGAAAATATATAAGAGAATGGGAATCATGTATCTTTTTGAGATGACATTACTACAATAAAGCTTATAAAAATAATGCCATCATGGGAAAATATTGTCTTATAAGATGAAATCGTATAAGAATCACAGTGATAGGTTCTTAATGATTTTTTTGCTCTTATAAGGTCATCAAACGATATTTAACAACGAAACAGGCCAAAACCTCTCCTCGATCACCGAATATTTTTCATAATTGTTATTTGAAGAAAGAGTATATATATGCGAAATTCATATAAATCCTCTATCTGCGAGAATTAATAAAAATAAGACACCGAGAAAACGATAAAGATTGTCATATATTTGACAAAAATGGAAACAAAAACAGGCTGATTATATTTAAAAGTATTAAATTAATATAAACAAATAAATGAACTTCAAGATCAAGCTACTAAATTGATCGACTGCATAGTATCTATATCCAAAAGAAGTGACAATTCTACTTCACAATCATCCTTTCATCATAGCCGGAATACTCAAAATATAGACTCTGTGAATTAATATCTATTAAGTTAACACCTTCAATAGGGTTTGTTACACTAAATACACAATTAAGTAAATCTCTTACTGAATTTTTATAAGCTATCATGTTTACTAAAATAGGGGACAATTGAGGTTGATTGAGAGCTCTATACTAACCGAATTAACAAAAGAATATCAAATGAACCTAAAGAAAGCATTTCAATTCATCCACTAAAATTATCGTATGATATATGTATACTTCATTTTGTATACAGTCAAAGGTAACAAAATCCATTTTACCAACTTACGAAATATCCATTCATGAAAACTTTGTATAATCATTCTTCTTGCTTTAGCCATCAAAATAGCACAGGACACTAAGATGTTAATATTCCCTTCGTCTTTCTGTTCCTTTACATGACTGTAACGTGTCTTTGATATTTCTTAGGTAATCAATATTATTATTATAAAACTTTCCATCAAAATTGTCATTTTTCTTAATAAAAATAGAAACATTTCATATAATGACAGGTTGAACACCTATTCCTATATGTTGAAATATTCGTCAATATATGAGAGAATAGTTTGACAGAAATTGGGCTCCGAATATAAAGAAGACATTGTCTGTGAAAATTATATTTGAAGTAATTTCAGGGAATAAAATTTAAATAATCCCAACTTTTCGTTCAACAAACTTATTCGACCTTGTTAAGGGTAACATTTAAACTTGAAATTATCATTACAGAGTTATGGAGATTTTTGAGTTATTATCAAAGAACATATAATATTTGAACGCTTATTCAATCATATTTTCAAATTACTTTAGAGCAGAGAGAAAATGTGTAATGCATGAAAGAAATCGGTAAGAATTCTTGGTTTAAGCTTAGTTTACACTCATTACAAAAGCGTATCTGTGCCCAATAGAATTGGGACCGTTTTTATGGATATGGAAGGATGGACTTAGTGATGAATCCCTTTACATATAAATCAATAAATTCCAGAACGAAATTTCTGTTTTCTTCATGAACATTTCAAACAGTTAATATTTCCCACCATCCTCGTTTAAGGTTTTCTAACAGTCTACTTACTGCAACTGATTTTTTTTACATCCATCGTATATAAGATGCGTGAATTATAGTATATTCGTTTCTCATTATTTCCAAAGAATAAACGGCGAGGAAAATATGCCTATAACTACAACATTTTCACTTCAGTTTTTCGGCAATAACTTGTACGCTTTTGATGGTAGTGTCTGTGTGTACATGCAGTGAAGATGTCCAAACAAATCTATTAAAAGTTTAGCTTTGATATTGACTCAGGTGAAAAACAGGTAGCCTAAACGTTTGAGCAGGACATTGATACTTCACCCGACTTATCAAAGAGTATTGACTGATTTCAACAAGATTTCGTGGATGATTTTATTCAGAAACAACTTGAAAATACACGTAGCAGGTTTGAAAAGAGACGAAAATCTAACCTATAATATATTTTTACAAAAATACTTACTCGATCCAAACAAATCAGCGTAGAGAATCGTGCAGTCTTTAATTGGTGCAAAACATGCATAAATTGTGCCGCATAGATAGCATCAGTTGCGGTGAAACACACTCTAGGATATATACATAATTGTAAGAATTGTGTAATAGTATCAGTTTTTGTAGCTAATCGTGTTTGAAACCAATTATCACGTTCAGTCATAAGCCAAGCACGTACACGTGTTACATGTTCTTCCCGTTCAGCTTGTTCATTGGTTAGACGTTCAATTAAATTTTCTAAACGTTCTATCTCACGTTTCTTTTTTGTTGAATTCTAAATTTACGTGAGTATTTGATATAAATAGAGAGAGGAGATTTGAAAAAAGGATCCTGTTACTAAATAAATGAGTACTAAGCAAAATGCTAAAGTCGAAGTTAAGATTTTTACAGAAAATAAATTTCTGAGATGTTACGATGATGATGAAGTCATGCATAGTTAAAGTGACAGTAAAAGCATATACTAATTAGTATTACCACGTTGCTAGAATAGACTAAACAAACACATACTTATACATTCAACATTTAAAAAGAAGAAAGATTCATTATATTGCTTTTTGACTAACATACAAAAACACTATATGTTTGGACTGTACCCATCAATGGGATAATTATCAGCAGCATTGAAAGGTTTCTCTCACTAATCATTGATCCAGATAAAAATACAGAGAAATATATACATATTCGTTTATTCGAAAAATACTTTGATTGTCCAGAAGACCTACTTATTTACAACCACTTTATGAATACATTGAGGTAATGCTTTAATAATTTTTTAGTAGTAATTAGTAATAGTAGTAATAGTGGTGGTAGTAGTAATAATAATAATTTTTAATGGATATTGACAGTTGGAAACAGTTACTGTCTTTGTTGTTCGAAAGGTATTGTGCTAAAATCGATATTGTTACATAATAATATTTCCTTTTTATCATATCAAACAAATAACTTGTTAAGACAAATATTGCACCGAATGCTTTGTATTAAGAATAAATAAATTTCCCATCAACCACTACAATATATATATCAAGTACAAGTTTTCTAACTCGACAGTGAATTACATTTGGTGTTAATGCTAATTTGGTTATTAAATTTGAACAAGTAAAAATAAAGAAATTCTAATTTTAATACGCCATTAGGAAATTGAAATAGATCGATTCCTAATGTTTCCTGAGAAATATCAAGAAAACAATAAGTTTCTTGTTTAATCATATTGAATTTTAAAACACATCAAAATTAAGAGACCTTCAGTGATAATTTGGGACCATTATGTCACAAGCGGCAAACTATCAGTTATGGCGTTCAGCTTTGAAGGTCCAAACCCCAGTCCGCTACCACAGTTTCGAAAGCTGCATAGTATAATCAGCTCTCACATACACAAGAAAACAAGTAGCCGAAATTGAGTACACAACTTTGTACCTAATAAATAAGTAAAGTTAGCAACATAATTTGAACCAAAGAGATTGTAATTATAAGCGTCCCATGTCGCAGAAATTCCCTATCTCACCACATAAAACCTCCGGTAAGAACAGAAGATAAAGATGTAGGCACAAGATCTTTGCCGACCTTGTTGATACAGAGTATATAGTTTTTCACTCATCTTTTTGAAAGGACAGAAAATTCGGTAAATAATAACGAAAACAAAACATAATTTAAATGAAATCTGACAAAGTGAATGCTCGTTAGTGAAGTTGCACAGAGTGACCTGTTGGAAAGTATCATTGAAGAGCAGAGTACTGGAAACTTTGGTGCTTATCATGCTCACGGGTAAAATGGCGAATTTCGGTGATAAACTGTGGAAAGTGTATCATAACATGTCGGTAGTAGAAGAGTCTTTACCCATGACATTAGACGGTCGTCAAGTTTATCATGAGATAAGTTGGAAGTGTACGAGATTGATTGTTAATCCAGGTGTCTAGTGATTAGGCACTTGCTGTGAGATATGAAGGTACTGGGTATGAACTCTAAAAGAGGGTTAAACGGGTACTTAAGATAAAAGCCATGATGTGATGTCCCATCACTCCAACTTTTTCAACAGTACTCCGTTTGAGTCTAATTTGTGACGAATATCAGCTTCCAAACACAAAAATCTACATCTAAATGAACATTTATTCACAGAGAGAGAAAGAAAAACAAGAAAATATACACAACTAAGGTTTACATCATCAATGCATTTACCCATCCACTAGCCGGCGTATCAATTTGTTGAATCTGCTCTTTTAATTGTTGTATTTGTCGTTGATAGGCGGATTCGGGGACAACTAAATCACTTGACTGTAAGCTCCAAAATGTGATAAAGAACACAATGCCTAATTCATCCCATACACGAGCTGGATATAATGGACGTATAGCTGCAGCTATTTCATTGCACACATGTAAAGAAGCAGCTGAGAAAATTGTCTACAATTTTACGAAGTTAATAATAATAATAATAATAATAATGAAAAAGAACGATTAGCAATATTAAATGATATAAAAAATAGATGAATAAACACACTTGATAAACGTTAACATTTAAATTGATCAAGTGAGTTAAAACAAAACCTTTGGACTAGTAGATTCTGAAAGACATTATTATACACAATATGATTTCTTTAGATAGCATACATCATGGGTAATTAAACTACTGAATGACGTCAAGCTTCAGTAGATTAGACATCAGAATTTAAATAATAAAAAAGGAATCCTAACATAGAAACTGTGAAGTATGTTAACGGTCAGCTATAGTTTCTCGAAAAAATCTTTAAAAATCCGAGTCACCAAAACATAACTGGAAATATTATGGAAATTCTAAGAGAAATTTACAGAGCAACTGCATTTTCAAAACTGATTAGAGAGTGATCAGTTTTATTATCAAATTTACCTTTTTATGGAAGCTTCCGTATTCGCAACATCAAAAGTGTAATCATATCCGTTACCCTCGTTTTCTGTATATAAGCTAACCTCATAAAACTTTTATTTTATCAGTAGTGTGCCAGTATATTGAAGCGATAACCTTCCAACCATAAAGTTGCAGGTTTGATATATTACTCCACCTCACTCGAGCTGGATTGCTGAGTAAAATCATTTGTCCTTATACAAAACAGAGTGTGCCTGAAACGCTTGTGCATGAGTCTTTAATTATTTATTATCCTGATAAAAATTAATTAACATTGCCTGATGTTTGATAAGGTCGAGTATGAGTATGATTGAGTACTACTCGATATTCATTTCGGGAGCTTTTGATGCATCCATCATTCAGAAAGTGACTCAACTTGTTCGTCTTAGGGTGCCTTTATAAGATTTATTCAAGGTCTTGAAACAGGACTTAGAATTATAATATCGTACGAATATGCTGCTATACATGATTAAGAATAAGCTACAAAGACTTTAAAAGCTTCAAACAATAAAATTATTACTTTTATGATTCAAGGATTTTGAAATAAATGGTTGGAAATTGTACAACGCTTCAATGACCAGTAATAAACTATCTCAAAAAAACTAACTACCAAATATAAGCTGGGCTAGTTCAAGACAAATAATAGGTGTTAATTATCATAAAGCACAGAAAGATTATACTTGCTAAATCTAATCATAAAATGCTTCATAAATTTTGATAGAAATTTGTTCATCCAATGACTAACAACAGGCAAATTTGGATTATACGATCTTCGGTTAAACTATGTGCAAGTAACAAAATTAACAATACTCCATCCAGGAGAAAGAAGGAGAGGAAAGGAGAAAAAAGAAGCTACTCTAACTTAACGTATTGAACAAAAAACTGATCACTGACCTTGCTGAATGATTTTGATTTTTCACCAGATTTCATTGTTTCTGCTTGTTCTTTGCTTTCAAATAAACGCTGAAAATAATTTATGGCAAATGCATTTTACCTATTCAGTTAAATCACTGGATATATCATTTTATCAATTAAAGATAATATTCAAACTAGTAAGCTATCTAACAAAGATTCACTGAAGTTAGGAATGCAAACTTCGTAGGTGCGTTGCATTAGCGTTGTAATCAGCTCTCTCTCTCTCTCTCTCTCTCTCTCTCTATATATATATATATATATATATATATATATATATATATATATATAATACACCAGATGCTATTGTAATACATTATATTCCAAGACTTCCTCATCTATAGCCATTTATCATATATTTCTACATGTACAGAGGTTCATCCTGGTTATTTTAAAGATCTTAGAATCAGTAAATAATAATAATGTTCATTTTTTTAAAGTAGAACAGACTGATAAATAAGTACTTTGCAACAATCATTATCGACATATACAACATCTACCAATTTTTCGCCTGAGGATGAATTCCAGATGAATATTTCATTAATCGCATATGAATAACATTCTAAAATCTGGTTCGTTCTGTTTTAAAGACAAGAAAGTGAAATATTTCGGTAGTTGTAAAAAACAAATCACTTATTATATACCATTCTGACATCAATACACCGATTGGCGATATGGTTTGCTTCAGATTAATTAGCAAGGAATATTGTCAATTCGAAGAAAATTTAGACCATAAAATCAACAAATTTGTGTATAAATGATAGTAGCGAATTTTGAAACTCAAGACATTTGCTGCGCTTCATACACAAGTCCATCAGTTGAAAAAAGAATTGTAAAGAATTATTTCAAATTCGTCAGAATGCTACAAAATTACACTGCATGTAGTGCATGTGACATATGAGAGTGGTTTGCAAAATGCGAATTTACTGAAAAAGACCAGACTGTATATTCATGTAATAACTTTTTAACATAATCGCCAGCAAGTAATGAAAATTAACAGTGTCTTGGTGGAAATATGACTTATTTATCAACCAGGAAGCTGTGGATTAAAAATATAATTTATTTACTACGATTTCGGCAGTCGAACAGTATCATTAGTTCATCCACAAACTGTGTGCTGCAAAGTCTAATACAAAAACGTGTACCCTGGGAGTGATATATATAACAAAAGTAATATCGAACGCTATGATAATATTAACCAGAAAATTGATTTCTAGAACTCAAAACCTAATCAATTAAACTTTTGTACAACTAGAAAATTGGGACGACAACAACAACGAATACAATTGAAATAAAAAAACCTACAGCAACTTTTTGTTCAAACAGATTACGATGAAAACAAAAGGCAGTATCAGCTGGAACATGAAATTCACCCATCATTCTGTCAATATTTAAACACTGAGTTTGCATTTCATCACGAGTTAATTGAAGACTAAGAAATGTTATGAATTGCACAAGAGTACCTTGACACTAAAGCAGAAATAATGAAAACAAGAGAGATAATAATTTTAAAAAATGGTTAATTATATTACAGCAACCATAGAAATTGAGTATTCAAGAGTAGTACAGAAAGGTTTCGTAACAACATTAGTAGACCATAATTCTGGCACTCAGTGATTAGAGCAGAGATCAGGTGTCTGGGACCATCAGCTGACTAGCTTTATTCAGAATTGCTAAAAAACATTACCGCACTCCATACTATGTAGAAAAAGGCAATCATCTTAAGTTTTTCAACCTTGAAGGTTAGTAACTTTAGAGTGTGCTCAGTAGAATAACATAGCTGAACTTGAAGACGATGGTAATTTTGAGAAGAGCTATATTGGGATCGATTGGTTCGGTATTGCTTTTAATAGAGGAGCATTGACCTTTCTGTAGAGTACGAAAAGGTGTGGAACTTTATGAAATTCAACTAACCTGATCATATAAACGCCCAGCTAATTTACAGTGACGTTCTGGATCATCTAGAAATATGATAGCATCACGCTGTTGAGCCATTAAAAAAATAAATGGCATGATCAAATTATGTTCAACCAAGGCATCTTTAAGACGTCCAGCATTACGACGTGTGTTACGTATCTGTGCATAATAACCACCTTCTTGCAATAGTAATTCACCACCTGACATGGATTCTAATTGTTCTTCCGTCATTTCTTCCGATATATCGATACCAGACATACGATGGAGAATTTCACGTAATATTGCCAAATCATAACTATAATTATGTTTTATTTGAAATGGTGAGAGGAATAAACAAAAAACAAAGTAATTTTATACTTAAAGTGTACATAGATAAATAACTATCATTTATCTGTAACATATTACTTACAAACGTTAACTGTAGCCACTATTTATTAAAATGTGCACGAAAGATAACTGCATAAAATTTTGCAGAATACGACAATTTCTCTCAAAATACATACAACAGTAGCTCAGAGTTTGTAGTCTTTTGTCCTGTTATAACTTGTGACCTTGCACCCTACTAATATTTAACGAGGTGATACCGCCAATTAGAGAACAGTGACTTATCGACCGAACCAACAATGCATAGAACCGTACGAGCAGTCTGGAGTCCTCATAGATTCTTTTTCCTGCCTAGCCCTGTCTATTGAGTCCAGAACACCAATCTCAGCCTCTGCGATACGAATCACTTATTTCAAATATACTACATTTATATACAAGCCAAACAGACCAAATCACACCATAAAATGGGAAATAACATTTGTACAAGATCTAGCCCAAAGTTGCTGTGATTGTGGTAGACTAATTAATAAACTGGGGATAACTTAAGAATGGTAAATCGTATAATAATAGTCTGTAGGTTAAAATAAAGCTTATAATAAGATGAATATGAATATGCATAGTTCAGTTACTTAATCACACAATAAAAATATATGTATAGAATTAGTCCAGAAATAGATCCCAACAGTTACCATTCATACTTCTCGTTGGGATATAACATGTCTAAACCTAAAATCCATTTGTTATCGAAATGTGAAAATATTGTAAGACATCTTCCTGCTTAGGAATTGATTTGGCTGAATAATTATTTGTATTAACTATATAGTGTTCTAAAGCGGTTTCATGAAAAAAGGGAGGCAAATTACCCTGGAGATAATCACTGTAAAATATAAATTAAACCACTACGGCTGTTCGTAAATATGTCTCACTGCACATTGAAGAAGTAGTAGAGGAGATAACAATGGCATCCACATAAGTTGATAGCAAAGTTTTGATAATCATAATAAAAGAGAATTAACCTCTGTTGTGATAAATAGATAGACGGATGGATATCTTAAATTTTTGCACAGCAAAGTGGAATTTAATGCAGCAGTACATATTTTATTCTGAAAGTTATCTACTGTAATCAGAGATTTTGAATTGAATACAAAAATCCTTGATATCCAGGATTTAAAATATTAGGTGATAAGGTCGAAAACATTTCATAAGTCTCCGTTATCAATTGGAATTGTTAAGAAAATAACTTGATAATAGTGGTAGTAAAAGGGATTAGGATTGAGAATAAATGTGAACATCAACATTGAGATGAAAGTAGATTAAGCTGACAAGTAGTATGGAATGTATGTTTGTTAGCGGGACATAGACTAGATTAAAGCATGCTCAATGCATGATTGTTTTGGTGCACGCTGATTGGCTGATTCTTATCCAATCAGCACTAGTCGATAGTCGGAGAATACTCTGGAATCTTCTTATGTAAAAACTATAAATATACCGACGTTTTCCCCTATTGTGCTTCTGACTTGCTATTTGGAATATAATCTTTTTACTGTTCAACCGTGTTCTGATTTGGGGACTTGTCGAGTGAATCGGTGTCCGAGAATACTAAGCAATAGGAATAGCTGGGTCATTAACCGGTAAGAAGAAAAGAGATTATAACAATGTTGTAGACCGTATTGGTAGCCATCATCTAAAGTATAATCAACTAAGAGCAGCTGAAGAACCAATAAAAACTGAAGAGTACTAAGACAGTTATTTAGGTTAAGTTCAGGACTTCGGATAGGATATATTCACGACCCTCCTTGTACGCCTAGTCAAATTGTGTAAATATCCCAAATTTAAAACCTGGAGAAGGCCTCAAATTAAGGAAACAGTTGTTAATAGTTTAGCGTGTTGGTGACTCAGACACTGTACTGGATAGAAATTTCCGTCGCTATGACACACATGACTTTTTGTTAGTGAATATTTGGTTCAATTGCATTAACACATCAATGAAATAATAATTTTCAAACTCCAAGTGCGTTGCTTATCATTGCTTGATGGACAGTTGTTTTAATTTACCAAGGAAGAAAACAAAAATGAACGACTACAACTGGTTAGTCTGAAAATAATCAGTCATTGTCATACATGATCATCCGAAGTTCAGCCAGAAAATTAAACACACCGACGCATATACTAATGACTTACCTTTTACCAACTTTTAATTGATTCAGTACATATTGTAACAAACCAGCCAAATCGAATTGATACTTTCTGCACAACAATCCAGTAAACAACGACAATGCTGATTAATTATGTAAATAAGAATAAGGAGGGGAGAATGGGTAAAACAATCAATACTAAAATGTTTTCTAAATAATTATGTGTGAGATTTATTGACGATATTACCATAGATATGAAACTGGAGGAGCGATCACATATTTCTTGATGTGACCATTTATAACTAATGTTGGATCAAGATATTAAAACATCTCGAACTTCTCTACAACTGTGAGAAATGACTTTAAAGAATTATTCTTCTCATGCAAAAACCGTTGCATAAGAAATAAAGCAGTTGATTGACTGTAAAAGGATTCCTGTAAAATTAATGGTACATATTCGCTGTTACTGTCATTTGAAGACAAGCTATAAACTAGAAATAATAACAAAAGTATTAACATGTACATATATTGATGGGGATACAGTAAACAATCAGTGTACCTTGTAAACCTTGACTTAATTGTAAATCTTCCAGTTTCGATTGATCTGTGGCAAGTGCTTCAATAATACAAACTGTGAACATAACAAAAAACAGCCCGAAAGTAAAAAGCAATCCACAAATATTCACACATTGAAATGTACAAAACATTTGAAATGAATGTTTCGCAAAAACGCGTCTGACATTAAAAAATTCGAACGTTTCATTGAGATGGACTGTCTAAATTTCGTAATATAAAAGGAATTGAACTGCATTTCAACCAGTTGGTCACATACAGTAGTAAGCGTCTATAGTAATTTTTTCTTTATGCATAGGAACTTATTTTCCCGAAATGAAATAAGAATAGCTGTTATAAATTGTGTCATCTGCATCACTGTTAGTCCATTTTCTTGCATAACACCTTCAATAACTGATAGAATGGGTCATAATATCCCGAGTGCATTTTCAATACTGCTATAGGAGATAGTTAAGCATTTTAAAAAACATTGATATTCTTTGCAATGCCACTCCGTAAGGTGAGTCAAATAAGTGCTTACATTTGTTCACCTCCATTAAAATGGGCAGAAATACATTGTGACAATTTGTTCTACAAGTAAATTTAAAGTGACCAATTTGGCAGAAAAACATCTCGTATACGCAACAGTTGATCTAAGTAATCAAACGTTGAGTGACCCTAGTCAGACCATGACGATATCCCGTCTGTTAAAAACTTATCACGAATGAGATTCCCAAGGTAAGTGAAGTGGTCAGTACTCTTAACTACTTAACTCCCTATAATCATTATAAGCGTTGACACATACTAGTCCTGAACCAATTTTTGGCATTTAGAGTGGCAGAAATGCTTTCCAAACATGCTCGAAGCGATTAGAGGACTTTAATGTGTTAGAATCAACGAATTTAACTACAAATCCACACAGACACACGCATGATAGGCATACAATTGATGAGTTTAAGTTATATTTTTAAAAAAACTTATTAAAGTTAACGACTTCATATTAGTCAACCTCAACACTGACGATTTGATTTTATTTTATATGACAAAACAACAATCCTTGATTTACATGTTACAGTTCTAAATGATGTACTTTGCCTTAAACCTAGTCAATTTCATGGATTATTAATTTCGATTTATAATTGTTGAATATGATGAGAAGTTATTTAAAATAATATTCTTCATTGATTGATAATAATAATAATAATAATAATAATAATAATAATAATAATAATAGTGATAATACCAATACTACTACTGCTACTACTACTACTACTACTACTACTACTACTACTACTACTACTACTACTACTACTACTACTACTACTACTACTACTACTACTACTACTACTACTACTACTACTACTACTACTACTACTACTACTACTACTACTACTACTACTACTACTACTACTACTACTACTACTACTACTACTACTACTACTACTACTACTACTACTACTACTACTACTACTACTACTACTACTACTACTACTACTACTACTACTACTACTACTACTACTACTACTACTACTACTACTACTACTACTACTACTACTACTACTACTACTACTACTACTACTACTACTACTACTACTACTACTACTACTACTACTACTACTACTACTACTACTACTACTACTACTACTACTACTACTACTACTACTACTACTACTACTACTACTACTACTACTACTACTACTACTACTACTACTACTACTACTACTACTACTACTACTACTACTACTACTACTACTACTACTACTACTACTACTACTACTACTACTACTACTACTACTACTACTACTACTACTACTACTACTACTACTACTACTACTACTACTACTACTACTACTACTACTACTACTACTACTACTACTACTACTACTACTACTACTACTACTACTACTACTACTACTACTACTACTACTACTACTACTACTACTACTACTACTACTACTACTACTACTACTACTACTACTACTACTACTACTACTACTACTACTACTACTACTACTACTACTACTACTACTACTACTACTACTACTACTACTACTACTACTACTACTACTACTACTACTACTACTACTACTACTACTACTACTACTACTACTACTACTACTACTACTACTACTACTACTACTACTACTACTACTACTACTACTACTACTACTACTACTACTACTACTACTACTACTACTACTACTACTACTACTACTACTACTACTACTACTACTACTACTACTACTACTACTACTACTACTACTACTACTACTACTACTACTACTACTACTACTACTACTACTACTACTACTACTACTACTACTACTACTACTACTACTACTACTACTACTACTACTACTACTACTACTACTACTACTACTACTACTACTACTACTACTACTACTACTACTACTACTACTACTACTACTACTACTACTACTACTACTACTACTACTACTACTACTACTACTACTACTACTACTACTACTACTACTACTACTACTACTACTACTACTACTACTACTACTACTACTACTACTACTACTACTACTACTACTACTACTACTACTACTACTACTACTACTACTACTACTACTACTACTACTACTACTACTACTACTACTACTACTACTACTACTACTACTACTACTACTACTACTACTACTACTACTACTACTACTACTACTACTACTACTACTACTACTACTACTACTACTACTACTACTACTACTACTACTACTACTACTACTACTACTACTACTACTACTACTACTACTACTACTACTACTACTACTACTACTACTACTACTACTACTACTACTACTACTACTACTACTACTACTACTACTACTACTACTACTACTACTACTACTACTACTACTACTACTACTACTACTACTACTACTACTACTACTACTACTACTACTACTACTACTACTACTACTACTACTACTACTACTACTACTACTACTACTACTACTACTACTACTACTACTACTACTACTACTACTACTACTACTACTACTACTACTACTACTACTACTACTACTACTACTACTACTACTACTACTACTACTACTACTACTACTACTACTACTACTACTACTACTACTACTACTACTACTACTACTACTACTACTACTACTACTACTACTACTACTACTACTACTACTACTACTACTACTACTACTACTACTACTACTACTACTACTACTACTACTACTACTACTACTACTACTACTACTACTACTACTACTACTACTACTACTACTACTACTACTACTACTACTACTACTACTACTACTACTACTACTACTACTACTACTACTACTACTACTACTACTACTACTACTACTACTACTACTACTACTACTACTACTACTACTACTACTACTACTACTACTACTACTACTACTACTACTACTACTACTACTACTACTACTACTACTACTACTACTACTACTACTACTACTACTACTACTACTACTACTACTACTACTACTACTACTACTACTACTACTACTACTACTACTACTACTACTACTACTACTACTACTACTACTACTACTACTACTACTACTACTACTACTACTACTACTACTACTACTACTACTACTACTACTACTACTACTACTACTACTACTACTACTACTACTACTACTACTACTACTACTACTACTACTACTACTACTACTACTACTACTACTACTACTACTACTACTACTACTACTACTACTACTACTACTACTACTACTACTACTACTACTACTACTACTACTACTACTACTACTACTACTACTACTACTACTACTACTACTACTACTACTACTACTACTACTACTACTACTACTACTACTACTACTACTACTACTACTACTACTACTACTACTACTACTACTACTACTACTACTACTACTACTACTACTACTACTACTACTACTACTACTACTACTACTACTACTACTACTACTACTACTACTACTACTACTATACTACTACTACTACTACTACTACTACTACTACTACTACTACTACTACTACTACTACTACTACTACTACTACTACTACTACTACTACTACTACTACTACTACTACTACTACTACTACTACTACTACTACTACTACTACTACTACTACTACTACTACTACTACTACTACTACTACTACTACTACTACTACTACTACTACTACTACTACTACTACTACTACTACTACTACTACTACTACTACTACTACTACTACTACTACTACTACTACTACTACTACTACTACTACTACTACTACTACTACTACTACTACTACTACTACTACTACTACTACTACTACTACTACTACTACTACTACTACTACTACTACTACTACTACTACTACTACTACTACTACTACTACTACTACTACTACTACTACTACTACTACTACTACTACTACTACTACTACTACTACTACTACTACTACTACTACTACTACTACTACTACTACTACTACTACTACTACTACTACTACTACTACTACTACTACTACTACTACTACTACTACTACTACTACTACTACTACTACTACTACTACTACTACTACTACTACTACTACTACTACTACTACTACTACTACTACTACTACTACTACTACTACTACTACTACTACTACTACTACTACTACTACTACTACTACTACTACTACTACTACTACTACTACTACTACTACTACTACTACTACTACTACTACTACTACTACTACTACTACTACTACTACTACTACTACTACTACTACTACTACTACTACTACTACTACTACTACTACTACTACTACTACTACTACTACTACTACTACTACTACTACTACTACTACTACTACTACTACTACTACTACTACTACTACTACTACTACTACTACTACTACTACTACTACTACTACTACTACTACTACTACTACTACTACTACTACTACTACTACTACTACTACTACTACTACTACTACTACTACTACTACTACTACTACTACTACTACTACTACTACTACTACTACTACTACTACTACTACTACTACTACTACTACTACTACTACTACTACTACTACTACTACTACTACTACT